TTGGAGAGGTTTTTGCTATAGGGCGTGTGCGCTCGCCAGACAGAGAGAGACAGAGAGACAGAAAGTGAGAAATCACCCCCCGGGGGGATGGTCACGCTGCAATCCCTTCTCCTCCATTCTCCTCTCGGGATCTTGGGCATGCACATACACGCGCCCAGCGTGAGTTTTAAGCCACTGGGTCTGGGACGCAAACCGCGGTCAACTATGTGGGAGTCCAGCGACATAGCCATTACACTGACTGCTGGTCCCTACAATAAAGTTTTTAAAACAACTTGAAAAATCCTTGCAGGGGGCCAGCAGGTGGTGTGGTTGTCAAGAACTCTGGACTCCCACATGGCTGACTGCTGTTTGGGTCCTGGATCTGATGACTTGCTTTCTCGCTTTCCCTCTTTCTCTCTCACACTCTGTCCCTCTCTGGTCAAATTAAAAAGAAAGAAAAAAGAAAGAAAAAAGGGAAGGGAAAGGGCGGAAAGGAAAGGAGAGGAGAGGGGAGGGGAGGGGAAGGGAGGAGAGAAGAGGGGAGGAGAGGAGAGGGGAGGAGAGGAGAGGGGAGGGGAGGAGAGGAAAGGAAAATTAAAGGAAAAATAATTCTTAAAAAAAAAAAAAAAAAAAAAAAACCAAAACCCTTGCAGATGGCCTCAGAGTATAGTATTTAAGTGCTACACACAAGAAGCCACATCCCACGTGGCTTACCAGGATTAGAATCCTGGCCCAAGAGACTTGAACAACATGCCAGGCACATGTGTGCAAGGTCAGGATCCTGAAGGAATAGGGAATTGGAGAAAAAAAGACTGAAGCATGACCAGGCCTCATGGGGGGATGCCTTCTCTCTCAGACACACACACATACATATACCCTCCAGTATTATTATTATTTTAAGAATTCTTTTATTTAACTTTATTTATTTATTTACTTATTTGATTTAACCAGAGAGGGACAGAGCAAGAGTGAGAGCAAGAGAGAGGGAAAGTGAGAAAGCAAGCTGTCAGGTCCAGAACTTGAACTGAGGTTGCCCATGTGGGAGTCCAGTGCCCTTAACCACCACACCACCTGCTGGCTCCGAGCTCTAGCATTATTTGAAAAAAAAAAAAAAAAATTCTTGGGACCAGCAGTTGGCATAATGGCTATGTTGCTGGATTCCCACGCAGTAGACCGTGGTTTGAGTCCCAAACCCAGTGGCTTAAACTCAGACCGGGCACATGTACATACGTGCCCAAGATCCCAAGAGGAGAATGGAGAAGGGATTGCGGCGTGGCCATCGCCCCTGGGGGGTGATTTCTCGCTTTCTGTCTGTCTCTCTCTGTCTTTCTGGCGACCGCATGTGTCTTATAGCAAAAACCTCTCAAAAAAAAAAAAAAAATCTTGTCTGTGCAGACACAGCCAGTGTGAAAGTCTTAAGGTAACTATTCATCTTATCAAACATATTAACATATGTTTGATAAGTCATGACTCATTTTCGGAAAAGTCATAACTCATTTTGCATAGAAAAACATGGAAAAAATACATCACGACTTTTCAGACAGTCCAATATTAGAGAAAATAGTAGAGAAAACAAGATTCTGACCTAGTTTTATACAATCGTCTTCATTCATCACAAGGTTATCCAATACGAGCTTTGTAAGGTTCTTCAAATTACCCAAGCTGTCAGTCAGACCACCTGCCAGAAGAAAAAATATTAGACTGTGTTCAGCTGACATTTACTGTTTACTGTCACTTACCATTACTGTCATTTCTATTACAAATCCAAAGATTAGTTTTGACCCTGGCCAAGAAATTTTGTTTTCACCCTGCCAGAGAAATGCTCATAAAACTGACACAAATGTAGTTTGGTTAGGGATAGGTATTATATTGATACTCAGTTATTAGTATATTGTCCAAATATAGTAAGATTAGACTAGATATCAGTAACAGAAAGATATAGGGAAATCTCCAAATACTTAGAAATTAAAAACATTTCTAAATAATCATGAAATAAAGAGGAGGTTGTAAGGAAAATTAGATACTTTTAAAACTACAGAAATAAAAATAAAACATCAAGGGACCAGCAGTTGGCGTAATGGCTATGTCGCTGGACTCCCACGTAGTCGACTGCGGTTTGCGTCCCGGACCCAGTGGCTTAAAACTCATGCCGGGCACGTGTGGGTGCGTGCCCAAGATCCCGAGAGGAGAATGGAGAAGGGATTGCGGCGTGACCATCCCCCCTGGCGGGTGATTTCTCGCTTTCTGTCTCTCTGTCTCTCTCTGTCTGTCTGGCATGCGCACACACCCTATGGCAAAAACATCTAAAAAAAAAAAATCAAAATCTGTAGGTAATGGGGCCAGCAGGTGGCGAGGTGGTTAAGGCGTTGGACTTCTACACGGCTGACTATGGTTTGAGTGCCAGACCTGGCAGCTTGCTTTTTCATTCTCTCTCTCTCTCTCTCTCTCTCTCTCTCTCTGGTGAGTGTATGTGCCCTATACAAAACTTAAAATAATGATAATAATAATGAAGTGTTTGAAATGAAAATAAATAGTAATTTTTAAAAAGGTTTTAAAAATTCTGCAGGTAACAACATGTTCAAAGAAAGTTTCTAGCATTGAACACTTATATTAGAAATGAGGAAAAGCCTTGGGACCAGCAGATGGCATAATGGTTATATCGCTGGACTCCCACATGGCCAACCGGGGGTTGAGTCCCGGACCTGGTAGCTTAAAACTCTGTCTCTCCAGTGAGTGCATGCACCCTGTAGCAAAAGTCTCCCTTTCCCCATCAAAGAAAAAAAAAAGCAAGGAAAGGGTTCAAATCAATAAACTAGGTTTTCTAGTTGAGAAACTACAGAGACCAGCAGGGAGCAAAATGGTTAACGCACTTGGCCACATGTTCAACCATGGTTTAAGTCCCAGACCCAGTGACATGAAACTCATGGTGTACATGTCTAAAATCCAAATGGAGGAGAAGGGATTACAACACAGCCTTCCCCCAGGGGGTGAGTTCTCTTTTTCCCTCTCTCTCTGTTTCTCTAGTGAGCACACGTGCCCTATGGCAACAGATACAAAACAAAAAATTCTGTTATAGAGTTATAAAATTATACGAAATTATAAGACATATTTTGAACATTATCTTTAAAATTCTGAATTGTGAAATTTTGAAAGTTGTTTGTAAACTGTCAAGAATTATGGAGTATGAGCTAAAATTTTTTGCTATGTAAAGTAAATGTTTGTGGAAAAATGTAAAAATAAATAAATGAAAGAAAAAAATTTTTTTAATTTAAAAAGAAAAAAAAAAAAAGCTCCAGAAAACCACAGACGAAAGAGCAAAATAAAGCCAATGCAAGAAAAAGGAAGGAAATAATAATGATAAGGGCGGAAGTCAAGAAAATTGTAAGGGGCCAGTAGGGGGCATGGTGGTTAAGGGGCTGGGATTCCTACATGGTCAACTGAGCTTTGAGTGCTGGACCTAGCACCTTGCTTTCTCATGTCTGAATACTTTCTCCCTAAGGACAGGTACAAGGCAGAATGTTCACTCTCATCATTCCTATTCAGTATTGTACAAGTCCTAGTCAGTGTAATAATGCAAGAAAATGAAAAGGAATACAGGTTGGAAAGGAAGAAATAAAACTGTTCTTTCTGGATGACGTGACTGTCTATGACAATAATTTTAAGGCACTTAAAAAAAAAATGGCTCCTAGAACTAGTAAGTGAGTTTAGCAAAGGTGCAGAATAGTCAACAGAAATGAAAAATGAACTAAGTAAATGTAAAATTATAGTCAGGGATTTTAATACCCTTTTATCCATATTGATAGAATAAGCAAACAAATCAATAACTATGGAGAAGACTGAGCATCACTGTTAAGCTGGCCTCATTGATATTTATAGAATATCCCAACCAACAACAGTGGAATACATACCTTTTCAAGTACACATGGACATTTACTAAGGACAGACCATTTTCTGGACCATAAAGCAAGTCAATGAAATTTTGGAAATAAAATATGGATAATAGTAGGACTTAAATGGCTAAACAACTGTGTCCAGAAAATGACAACAAATCTGGGTTATGAGAGAGACATTGTATTTCTCCACTTAATATATACCGACTGTCTGCAATCTATGAGGGAAACTAAGAGATCAGAGGATGTAGAAGCATGGAAAATGGTTATGGATACTGAAGACGGTGTGGGAAGATAGAGTGTGTGAGGAAAGAAATTAAGGAGAAAAAATAAAGAGGCAAGATATTTACAGGACACAGGAATGGATTGTTGTCTGTTGATGATAACGTGTATTGTAACCTCAACTTGACTGATATGAACATCCTGCCTTGTTCCTGACCTTAGGGAGAAAGTATTCAGACTTTTTTTTTTGGAGAGGTTTTTGCTATAGGGTGCGTGTGCTCACCAGAAAGACAGAGAGAGACAGAGAGACAGAAAGGGAGAAATCACCCCCAGGGGGGGTGGCCACGTTGCAATCCCTTCTCCTCCATTCTCCTCTCTCCTCAAACAAACGCGCCTGGCATGAGTTTAAGCCACGGATCCGAAACTCCAACCATGGTCGACTACATGGGAGTTCAGTGACATAGCCATTACACTAACTGCTGGTCCTGAGACTTTTTTTTTTATAATTATTTTATTTAACTGTATTTATTTACTTATTTATTTTAATTTTGAGCAGAGAGGGACAGAGTAAGAGAATGAAAGTGAGAGGGAAAGTGAGAAAACAAGCCACCAGATCTGGGACTTGAACCATGGTTGATCATGTGGGAATCCAGTGTCCTTAACCACCATGCCATCTGCCAGCCTGGTCCCGAGACTTTAATTTTTTTTTTAAGAGGTTTTTGCTATAGGGAGCGTGCACTCGCCAGACAGAGACAGAGAGAAAGAGAGACAGAAAGCAAGAAATCACCCCCCAGGGGGGATGGCCACACCGCAATCCCTTCTCCTCCATTCTCCTCTCGGGAACTTGGGCACTCATGCACATGCACCCGGCATGAGTTTAAGCCACCGGGTCCGGGACACGAACCGCGGTCGACTATGTGGGAGTCCAATGACATAGCCATTACTCTAACTGCTGGTCCCAAGACTTTAATTTTTTAAGTATGATAACTATAGTTTTCTCATAGATGCCTTTTATCAGTAACTATTCATGTTGAGTAAAAAAAAAATAATAGTAATAAAAATTTACCAGAGGGTGTGTGGTCTTGCTGAAAAGAGACAGAGAGCTAGGGAAAGTGAGAAAGCACCCCTCTCCTCCATGAGGAATGGCCAGGCTGCAATCCCTTCTTCTTCAGCATGTTTTTTCAAGCCACTGGGTCCAAGAATCGAACTGCCTGGTCAGCCATGGGG